GATCTCCCAGCGAAAAGGCGGACTCGCCCAGAGTGATTTCACAGTGAAAACCCACATGCCTTTTTTGCAGCGTTTTCGGGCTCCTGGAGGGTGCACGGGAACTTGTCGCTCGTTTTCGGGGCCTTGTCAAGACAGGCTGGGGCTGAAATCGTGATTCTAATTTGGTGGAGTCGTCCGCAGCTGCTCAGAGAAATTGATATCAAACCAAGTGGCAATGAATGATCATGGATGATCATCGCAACTTAAAAACGGAAATTTGAATCCGGCACAATGGTTGGCTGTAGCAGTGAGTCATCTTGACAGCGGTTTTGCTGTTCTTCCGTTTTATCTTTTCAAAAATCGCATTCATGGCAATTGGGGGAGGGAGAGAGAGAGAGAGAGAGAGAGTGTGTGGGGGGGTGAGGTAGCTATCCCCAGTATTCAGGGGCGGCTATATTCTAGACTAAGTCAGTGAACACTTGTGGTCAACGCAGCGGCACGCTACACTCTGTTTTTCCTGCTATGCAAGCAAGTCTTGAGCCACGGAGTGGCGTAGTGGCGTAGTGGTACATGTATGAATCAAAGTGAACATGTCACATGTATATGCACCCTGTCATGCATTGTGTAGACATGTCCCCAAAATAGGTTACAAAACAGACACACATATTCTTCGGGTCGTAACATGCAGCAAAAGTTTTGGACCTGCATAAGGAACGCTCAGCTTATGCTCTGCTGTGAAACGTATCCGAAGACAAAAATGAAGATGCTACTTCTGGCCGTAATATTGGCTCATTCTTTTCTGGTAGTACCGTGCTTGGGAAAACAATTTCTGCCGTTGTTCGGCTAGTTTTTACAGTCCTATTCCGAAGGTATAGCCGCACGGCCACAGTTCGTTCTGACGGCGTTGCCATGTCGGCTGGTTGAAAATATATGGACTGATCAGGAGTTTGTGGAACAAGGTCGGGCCATGTTCCGTCTCTGTTCTAAACCCATCGCTCAAAAGGGACTTGGTATCCCGGCTGGAAATAGATTTCGGTTCGTAGGCGGAGCGGTATGATTCTGCCACGCTCTGGAGTTAAGCCATTTTTGCGCCAGTTTGGCGTCGTGGTGGTGGTCCCGGTGGCTCTGGCACATTCGGCGCTTCTCGGCGTGACTGTCGGCCAGTGTTAGTCCAGAATGCTCCCTGCACATGGGCTGGCCTGGTATCTCTTCTGCTCCTGGTCCGGCGACTCTTCTTACCTTTGCTTAAAAACCCCCCATCGGGGTACCTAAATAGAATGAATTTTAGATTTTTTGGATCTGTTTTTGATTGCTAGAAGCAGGTGCCAAAAATATCTTTTGGTTCCCAAAACGAGTTTCTGAATTATCTTTAAGATGTTTTCTCCATCAACTAAGTGCTCTGACATTGTGACCTGTGGCTTGAAGCATGACTACAGAGAGTTAAAGTTGTTTTGGTGATTAGTCCCTTGTTTTCAGGATCTCGTAAGAGATGCAAAATATCATGAATGACATTCAAACGAGACAGCCTCAGAAGGGAAACGAGACCAAAAATTAAATCTGACCAAGCTCTCTGTTTTTGACCCCAATATTTAATTTTGTCCTTTGACTGCCAGAGCACTTAATTAACTTGCCCATGGCCGGAGCAACCAAGGGATAAGACACGCAGAAGGAATTGTGCTAAAGCCGAAGCAGCTTCCAGCGCAACTCACCCAGCAGCACCTTCCACTTCAGTGTCCGTTGGTACATCATTGTGATCCGTAAACCACTGAGCTCCTTTGCGTCTCAGCACTTCTTTTCGAAGTTTGTAAGCTAACTTCCACGCTGACCTGCACGAAGTGGTTTTCAGGTAGTTGTATTTCTTCATCATGACCAGCGGTGGCATCCTAGCCCTAGCCAGCAACTTGCGTTGAACTGCCTGATGGTCCGGTTTGCTCGTCGCCGTTGTCACTTTGCATTTAGGCGCGGCCACGGCAAATGTGGCCGATGCAGCCATTGTTTAAGAGGCGGGAAAGTGTCTGCAAATCAAATATGTCATTTTTGATTATTACTATTGTTTTTATGATGTGTATACATGTTGGACTCATTGAAATTTCATTCGACGCCCCGCAACCCAGCAGCCAGTCGCCGCGGTTTTGTGGCGGATTGCAGCGCTGCCTTCAAAAAGTCACAAGCGATTTGGTGGCCCTTAGCCGAAACAGCTAGTGGGCACCTTGTAGTGGTCAAGTCCAAGAGACATGGCATGGCGTTCCACCCAGTGACGGCCATTCGAGGGAATGTCCACTGAGTCTCGGCCATGGTAGTGCTGGTGCAGAAGCACCAGGCCGTAGGCCCCAGGAACCGTTGCCTTCCAGATGGTGTTGCCGTCGTGCTTCTCGTCTTTGCGCCCGCCTTGTTGCGTCGGCACCCCGCCGCTGTCGAGAGACAACATGGGCGGGTAGTCCCTGACATCGCGGGCGGCACGAGACATGGCGGAAACAGCCACAGTCTCTGCTAAAGCGAATTTATCGGTTCCAAGCCGATGCAGCTTGAGAACCAAGACACTTGAACTTAAACGGCTACGGGTAAAGTGAAGTTTCTAAGGAGAGGGCTAACAGACCTCTCCTTACAATGTTCCCTGACAGCGGCGAAGCGTGTAAGGAGAGGACTCGGGGAGGACTATTTAAAAAAACAGCTTTTTTTAGAGGATTTTTTTTGAAAGTCCTCTCATAGCACTCTCCTTACAAGCTTCCCTGACAGCGGCGAAGCTCGTAAGGAGAGGTCTAAAAGACTTCTCCTTACAAGCTGTTTTTCGTCAGTCCGCTTAGCGGATTTTTTTTTAAAGGTTCTCTGACAGCGGCGATTTGCCCTTGTACCCCTTCGGGAAACCATGCGTGGAAACAAACGCTTGTTTTCGACGCAACGTCGCTGCCAGCTTGGTCGGCTGGCGGGTGTCTAGCCGAAACAGCTAGAACACCCGCACAGACAGAAGGAAAAGAAAGCAACTAGCCGAAGCAGCTAGCTTACTTTTAATCCTGGAAGCCTTCAGTTGAGTTTTCCACCTCCACGACCTCAAAGCCGACGGGCTTCTCGCCTGCCTCAGTGGTGGCGAAAAAAAATCGCGCAATTTCGTCCCAATGACGTCCCCCAAAGGCGTCCCTTGACGTCTTCCAAGTCCCTCAAGATATGCTTGGCTTCATGGTGCCAGTGGTGAGGGATCCACACGAAGCTGTTTGGTGGAATTCGTTCCTTTCGACGCACATCCTTGGCCAAGGACATTTTCTGCGGATACCTGTCCCACGGCGAATCCGATATCGTTTGGATCACATCCCGAAAATCGAGAAGCGCTCCCAATTGAGACGTATCGGGCGCCTGCTGGTACATCATTGTGAGGACGTCCAGGATACAAGACGCTTCGTGCACCGTGTCTCCTCGCCAAAGGCCAGCACCAAAGCCCGTCTCGTGCTGACGACAAAATCTAGAAAGGCCTTTGCCTTCTCGTCGTTGTGCGCTCCATCAATTTGACTGCAAGCCGCCCTCTGTGGCCACCGCGTATTGAGCTAGATTCCCAGCGCACCCTGCTGAGTGACAAGCTCTGCATCCTATTCCCCAAGGATCGTCTTGCTCATCTAGCCATGACCCCAAAGAAGGTTGACCTGGGTCTAAAGGGAACATGTCTTTCCACTTTGAACCCAACTTCTTCCATTTGCGGTTTGCTGCCTCCATGGCCCAAAGAAAGCCGAAACAGCTTAGCTTTAGACAATTTCCAAGGAAGGCCGAAACAGCCTTTCCTTGCGCGTGGCCGATGCATGATCCCCAACACACGAGAAACAAAAAAATCTTACACTGAGCCATATTTATCTCAAGCGGGCCCCAAACGAGTAATAAGACGTCTTGATGTGGTTATATAAAAATTGTTGAATCTAGCCCTATGTCATTTTTACTTCATACTAGATGCTTTCTTTCAGATTGTCAGCCACAATCCAAATCTCGGAGTAGGGCATTGTCGAGCATCGACTTGTAAAAAGAAGCTGATCCTACAAGGGCCTTCTTGAGAGACGGTCCGTGCTTGTCTGCATCCAATGTGGTGATGCCGAGCCAGTCATCGATTAAATCCTCATATTCAAACCAGCTTGATTGGCCATCAAATTGTGCAGGTACCTTAGGAGTCATTTTGGTGCCTTGCCGGTTATCGGCGTGACTGGCGGCACAGGCTTCAGGCTCTTCATATGAAACAATTTGGAGTTGTTCTTCGTCTGAGTCCATGTTATGGATAAAGACCTTGGCAGCTATCCGGAGTTGACCTACACGTTGCCTTTGCAAGTCCGGATATCGGCACAGATGCTAAAAGCTACTGCAGTCCGAAGATCGGATCTTGGCAAGGCACAGGCTCCACTACCACTTTGAGGTAGCTATCCCCGGTATTCAGGGGGCCCTAGATCTAGACTAAGTCAGTGAACACTTGTGGTCAACGCTTCGGCACGCTACACGCCGTTTTTCCTGCTATGCAAGCAAGTCCTGAGCAAAGGAGTGGCGATGTATGAATTAAAGTGAACATGTCACATGTATGCACCCTGTCATGCATTGTGTAGAGACGTCCCCAAAATAGGTTACAGGGGGGGGAACATTAATTAATATTGCATGTTGATAGCGGGTATCCTCTCAGAAAGGATCGTGGACTGGCAGATTCACTCGTCCAAGTTTATTTTCTTGGAGCGTTGATTGTGGTGCACTTTAGACATCAGTTTGTTCAGGGGCATTCTGCTGCGTAGATTTTGCACCCATTCGTGACTCGGATGTCTCGTAGCGATTGACCCTCCTTTGGTTCTCTCAGTTGCCTTTCTGTTAGATAAAAAAGTTAAAAGATGTTGAAAGCAATTCGTTTCGAGCATTGTATATAGTAATCATGCTCATTGTCTTTAGAATCATCATCACTACCACACACTACTATACCAGTGAAGCCAAGAGTACCATTTACCATCCATTTACCAGTGCAACCACTTGCTCTTTCAATGTGTTTGGGGCGGTGTCGTGACCAGCGTCAGGATGGTTTTACAAGAGAAACATGCGGCGAGGGACCAGCTGCGATTTGCAGAGGCACGGGGTCAAACGGATTGAACTGATTGAACGATCTTTATTCCTACAGTTTAAGACAGACAATGCTGCTGAGTTGGGAAAATGTCCCACCAATCACGGCCATCACCGTTTGTAAAAACCACGCGCACGGAAACTTTCCGAAATGCCAAAAGGCACGGTGCCAGGAGGAAGAAGAGAAGAACTTTCAGCTGATTGTCAAAGAGACTTTCTTGGAGTATGTGCCCGACAGGTCTGCAATCCAGGACTTAAGCATATACTTATCCCAATAGTTCCATATTCGATTACATTTGATTCTCTTTGCATTTTTGCTCTTGCAGAGATCCTTTCCAAGCAATTTGTTCAGACTTCATGACTTTGTGACTCTGAAATCTTGCGATTCTATCTGATTCTCGTCGTTCAGAGTTTTTTTCCTTGACTTTCACTCACTTTCTGCCGTCCAAGTTCCCCTCCAAGACAAACAACTGCCAGGGAGGCAGACGATGCCGCGAGCCACGCAGAAAGTGAGCCGGCCAAAGAAGTGATGAAAATCAATGACTTGAGGACCCACGGGTACTCTCGTTCTCATGGGTTTGAGTCCGACTTTCCGAATTGATTGATCCCCTGTTGGGCCAGATCCATAGTTCTGGCTCGTGCGGAGGAATGAAGAGGATTAGCACACAGAACATATGGACAAATGCCGCTTCTTGCCCTAGAAATTTGCCACTCCTTCACATCTCTTGAATGATATTTCCCCACTGATCACATGATAGAAGCCTCGCAGTCACACCAATGATCACGAAAGCTAGCTTCTGCTAGCTGAAGTTGCTCTTGCTTTTGAAAGATATTGGCAGGCACCAGGACCGGTGAATACATTGAAGGTTTCGATGTTATACCCCTGGCACGCCCGGGTTCTATCCCCACCTGTTGCATGCAAGTACAGGGTCGTCATCTGCAATATGTCAGTTCCTTTTAGTAAATAGTAGTTCATTTCATCTAATTTAATTTCAGTGTGTTACATTACATTTCTTCATCACCATCATCATCAGCAGCAGCAGCAGCATCTTCATCATCATCATCATCAGCAGCAGCATCATCATCATCATCCTCATCCTCATCATCATCAGCATAATCATCATCAGCAGCATCATCATCAGCATCACCATCACCATCACCATCATCATCACCATCACCATCGTCATCGTCATCGTCATCGTCATCACCATCGTCGTCGTCGCCGTCATCATCATCATCAGCATCATCATCATCATCAGCAGCAGCAGCAGCAGCATCATGAGCATCAGCATCAGAATCAGATTCATCATCATCATCATCATCAGCAGCAGCAGCAGCAGCATCAGAATCAGCATCAGCACCAGTATCATCATCATCACCATCATCATCAGCAGCAACAGCAACAGCGTCAGCATCAGAATCAGCATCAGCACCAGTATCATCCTTACTTGTGCGTACCATCATCGTCATCAGTTTACTCTTGCAGCTGAGCACTCTCCAGTGCAACATTAGTAGCCTTGTGCTAGCTCGCGTACCTCCCCCCTATCCCCCCTTGTGACATCGCATCTCGAAATTCCTTTGCCGCTCTTTAACCACATCTTCCTCCTCCCTTTACTGTTCCTTCCCAGCTAGCATTCGTCCCTTACCCCTTGGCCTCAAGTTGCTATGATTGCCTGATGTTTCAAGTCAGATACTCCCTGGCTGTCCCTACTTGGTGCCTACCTGAAACTTGGCACAGGAACTTGGGTTCAGCCACGGATAGTGGAACAGAACCCTCGAAGCCAATCCAGTCCATCGAGTCCATTGGTTCTCGCCTTCATGAGCCCCTCGGTGATTTGTTTCCAGTCTCCCAGTGGAATGACCCATCCATGCTTCAACCGGCATTTGGGGTAAATGTAGGTCAAGAGTGGGGTATGCAAATAATTGCAAATCCCAATAACGCTGTTCAAGAAACCTCCCACTCCCACCAATATTTTTCCGCCCCGCCGCAAACTGAATCATTGACATAGTCATAGGATTGAATAGGTTTAAGATATGTTGAGGCAGTAGAGATCATCGCAACATTGTCGCAAAAAAACTCTGCCGAGGTCAGGCCTTTGCAAGCCCTGCGCTTGGTTTTGGAAGCCGACTGGAATCTTGACTGCACTGCACTTGGTGGTTCACCACCATGCTTTCAAATCATTTTTCAATGATGTTCCATAGGGCGGGCTAATGTAGCTGACTGTGGCAAGCCAAGGATGTCGCAATGGAACTGAGTGCAGGTGCATTGGTGGGCTTGAAAGCCGCGCAACCGGTGCTAGTGCTAGCTTGTTTCACGCTAATATCTGTACGATTTTCAAAAACACCTTTCATCTTGCATAGCACGAACTGAGAAGCTTTTGCAAGAAGTCATCTCTGAGCATCCAGGCATTGCCATAGCTGCACGCTTGGCGAATTCAACCGTCGTAAACGCAACTTGCCTCAAAGATGTTGGGTGAGCAGAAGTGGCAAGTGATCGTGCTGTCAACTGCAGGCACTGATTTTTAATCTGTGGCGAAATGTGTCAATTGCAATAGAGACGCCAATTTGCTGCTGTGGAGCCAAGATTGCCAGGTGAACGCCGGCGACTTTTTCGGCAGAAAGGCAGCCAGCAGCAGGTCCCGGGAGGGCAGGAATGGTTCTAAATCCCTCGTGGGGGTCCTTAATCGGAGTGAGGGTTTCCTATCATGGCCTTCTTTGATGATACAAAAATGTCGTTTCCTGTACATTCAATGCATCAGAGTTGCAGGTTCCATATGGGGATGAGAGCCCTCTCTCACTCTCGCCGCGTTCCCCTCGGACGGAGCCTGAAACGGATTGTCACGAACGTTGGCTTTCTCCTGAGCGCGGAGCTGCCGGGGGATTTCAACGTGCTGTGACATGGCCAGTAACAAGCTTTGACACGAACCAAGGTGCCAACGGGAAAACTCATGTGCAACATGTGTGGAACTTGTGATCGCCTGTGATAGGCTATGGTCGAATTTGTAGGCCTGGAGATCCAATCAAGACAGGTCCTGCAATTCTTCTGTCTAATCTGTTGATACTGTTGGCAAACCAATGTATGCAAGAAATGCCACCATGCTACACGACAATGTTATGCTGGCTTTGGTTGCAATGTCAGGCCGTCCATTTGTAGCTGCCGTGCCGGTCATGATAATTGCGATGCCAGTGCCAGTACCCGTAGCTGCCTGGCAGCAAATTGAAGGTAATTACTAGTGACACATGCTAGCTTGCACATGAAGATGCCATGTGGGGAGTGGGCGAGAGAGCAGCGAAGAACAGAACACACAGACGAGCTCCGCTTGTACAAAGTTAAAGTTGAACATGATTTTGCCTATAGATAGGGGACTTGATGGGTAGTTAGAGAAAGAGAACAGGGTTTGTTTGTGGAGACGGTTTTGGTCTGTTGAGCGTATGTTGAATTAACCCATGCTTCCCTACTCGCATGTCAGCTCACGTATGCTGCAAAAATTAGATGAGTATATGTTCTTACCACGGCCATTTCTCAGGTACCTTCGGTGGTGATCAGCAGGACTTGCACAATGGTGTAGTTGCGTGTGATTTGGAAAACCTACGAGGTGCATCCAGCTAAACGCAAGTTGAAGAGATTGAAGAGTGAGAAGAGTGTTGAAAAGAGGCTGCAATCCTCGTCCAGGACACACTAGCAGTGAGATCGCTGAAGTCCGCACCAAAGCACAGCCGCAAACTACATGACTCTCCGAAAATCTCCGAAATATGGAATCCGGCGGAATCCGGCGGAATCCGGCAGATTTTCTGAAACCCAGACAGGGTTTTCCCACAACCAAAGCTCTGTTGAGTGCAGCTACGGGTTTATCCTCGGTGATTGTGAACAGACAAAGTGGTGAAATTTCAAATTCAACTTGGGATGAGGTCACTCAAACCTTGAAGCCTTTTGCACCGAGCAATCTTCAAGCGCCCATTCGAAACAGCCAAGCTTTCGCCTGTTTAGGCTCTACGGGGCTTGGGCACGTAAAATGCTTCTGGAACAGCCATTCAGCACAACAAGTGATTAACACCCTGAAATGCTGATGGCAGAAATGAAAATGCGCCAACAAAAATGTTTATTTTAATTTTTATTAACAAACCCCAGTTGGTTAACAAGAGAAGTCCCCCCAAACAGGTATAAAGTTTTTATATATATATATATATACTCAAATTGCCCCCCATTTCAGCAGCCCAGGAGCCCAGGGGTTCATCAGTCTTTGGATGACAAAAACCCAGTTCCGGTATAAAACTTGGAATTTTATCCAGCCCCTAGGCTCCTAGGTCTAGGTTATTGCCGCATTTCCTGTCACAAACCGTTGAATCTTCAATGATTGTACTGTAAATCTATCTGCCGTAAGGTTTGTTGGGTAGATTATATTTGAAGTTAGTCAACCTTGGCGATGTTTGTATTTATGTGTATGTACAGCAATAATTTGATTTTCAATGCATTGAAATGTTTGGGTTCATGATCTCATGGATATCAACGATGATGCTAACTAAACACCCCAAAAAAAAGCACGCACTTGAAAGTTGTCCTGTTTACGCGTACTTGTTTGTCGCATACAAGAGCCAGCCAGCACTATAGTTGGCAAGACTGACTGCGGAAGGACCACAGCTTTTCTTTGGCAAGAAGATAGCCAGGAAAAACAACATGTAGGATTCAACAACAAGCTCGAACATTCAAACCTTGGCGTATGCCCTAAATCCATATCTAAATCCATGGTGGACGCTCCTTGATACAAAAGGAGGGTTTGGGAAAGGTAAAACCACCAAGCCTTGTAGAGGATTAAAGGCAAGGAAACTGCTTCGGTTTAGACTGGTGTAAGGGTCTCTGGGCTGCACAGGTTCTTTCCAGAAAGGTAGCGTCACTTACGAAAGGTATCGTCAGCTACCTGAATTTGCCGTGTTTTTGCCAGTTTTCCTAGCAAAACATGGAGCAGAAATCTTAATCCAAAGTATTGCAAACACCAGCCACATAAGAAGTTCCACCTGCAAAATGCTACACTCATCATGCAGCAACAGTGAGGCTGTAAATTCTATCCAAATTACAGATTTCAGTTCTTGGTAAATCAGTATGCAAATTGTAGATTTTTGCACCAAAATGTCGCAAGACGATATAAAAGAGAGGTTTCAGCTTAACAATGCTGCAACTACAGTAACTACTGCAACGCGGAGTGCAATGTTCAGCTTCCAAATGCTGCAAATCCCATCCAAATCGCGGATTTCAGCCGCAAAGACCGGAGGAATTGGATGTAACACACTAGAACAGAACTGGATCATTGGAGTGACCCGTTGGGAACTGAATCCCGTAAACGTGCAATTAAACCAGATGAGTGATGTAAGGTAGATCTTCTCCATGTAGCAGTATTCAACCTTTCAGAAGAAGTTCCAATAAATGAGATCATGGACAGAAACTTGACCAAAAAGTCCAAACATGTAAGATCAACGAACAGAAACTTGACGACAAAGCCCCCAAATAAATAAATAAGTTGTCCAGGTAGGGTTCTCGGTTTAGCCCTTCGCCATGCCCGTAAAAATACAATGCAAACGAAGTTTGAAATGACGTCAAAGGAAATCTCAGATTGCGACAACCGTGTAGAAACGAAAATGCAGTTGGGGTTCTTGGCTTAGCCCCGTGCCATTGCAGTAAATTTCAAAAAGCAGGTGCGTGGATGAGCGTCCCCATCGATATCACAGGCAACTGAGGGGTGTCTTTGTTAGTGCCGGTCTCATCAGTGCACCCGGCAGCCCCTGCCTTTATTGATAATACAAAGAGGTAGAAGTCTTACATTTGTTCAGCTGTGTCACATACACACTAGACAAAATTGGATCCTTGAAGAGATCCATCAGGAACTGAGTCCTGTAACGTGCAACCAGCCTAGACAATTAGACCTAAAGTAGATCTCGTAGTTGCGAGAACGATGCGAGATCGATGAAGGTTTTCCGAAAATATCAAACGTAGACCAAACCAGAGTACAAAGGTCAAATAACTCATCATGATATCCAAAATCAGATTGCGCCAACCGTGAAATAAAGGTTTCAACTGTGCGGTTCTAGGCTTGGCCGCTTGCCATGTCGGTCAAAACTGAAATTGAGAAAACGAAATTGCAGGTACAAGTGGCTGATCAGACCACTCATCCACCGAAATGCCATAGCTTCGTTGGACTGGATAGGCAAATCGGCTCCCGTCCCCCCTGCTGACAAATGGGTATGGGTCAAAATTAGGTACCCCAATAATTGGATGGTTAATACTAAACTAGACTAACATCTGTGGTCCCCTAGGTCTTCCATTTTGACCCACATCCAAATGTTAGAACCCTGAAGTTTTACATCTGTACAGATGTGTTACGCACACACACCCTGCCACAGCAGGGTTTATCTTCCGGAAGAGGCGACAACTGCCAAGCTATGGTACAAAAAGCAGTGGGACCACCATTCGGTCAGCATCACGGGGGAAATGTAAGCCCAAACGGCCACTTTGGCTTCAAAGTGCTTGTTTGGACTTATTCTGCGGCTCCTTCCGGGAGGTTTGGGGAGAAGGAAATATAAGCCCAAACGGCCACTTATTTTTCGATCCCAAAGTGCCTTTTTGGACTTATTTTAACTGCCACGCATGGTCCATCACTAACGAGAACTAACTCCCAATTAACATGTTCATACTCCAAAGTGCCTTTTTAGAAATTATTTTTGCTAATACGGAGGAAAAATCATCACAAACAAAAAATAAACCCAAAACAACATGTTAGATCCCAAAGTGCCTTTTTGGGCTTATTTTTCCTGACACGCAATAATCATATTCAAGAACGAATCTCTCCAAATGGCATGCCTATATACAAAAAAATAAGCCCAAAACAGCATGTTCGATCCCAAAGTGCCTTTTTGGACTTATTTTAACTGCCACGTATGGTCCATGACTAACGAGAACTAACTCCCAATTAACATGTTCATACTCCAAAGTGCCTTGTTTCGGAATTATTTTTGCTAATACGGAGGAAAAATCATCTCAAACGGAAAATAAGGCCAAAACAGCATGTTCGATCCCAAAGTGCCTTTTTGGGTTTTTTTTCCTGACACGCAATAATCCTATTCAACAACGAATCTCTCCAAGTGGCATGCCTATATACAAAAAAACAAGATGAAGCCCACGAACCCGAATGCTCACACGTATGTTGAAGATAACGATGTTAAAGTATCGGTTATGATGTGAGATGAAAATGTCAATGCTCAAACCTATTGCTCCGGATCTGTTTTCTCTCCGCGACAGCAGCACTGGCGTCGCAACGCAGTACGAATGACAACCTGCTTGGAAACATTCGAAACGGTCAGGTTTTCCAGCTTCCCCCATAGACACGGCAACGCTACAGGAAAAGCAGCGACTCGCAACAAGACACGTGGATGCAGAAAAACCAGCATTTTGTGCGAGACGTCCGGCAATTTTCACAGTTGGCAACACGACAAAAAGAGAAGTTTTGCAGCTTCCCCCATAGACACGGCGACGCCACGGGAAAACCAGACACGCGAGAAGAGACAAGTGGGAGCACCAAAACGACCATTTCGTGCGAGACGCGTGGATGCAGAAAAACGAGCATTTCCTGCGAGACGTCCTCCGATTTTGACGTTTTCGACACGTTATCAAACAGGTTGGAATGTCAAAAAGTGCCACGTCTACCACGCAAAACAACATGACAACCTGCTTGGAAACATTCGAAACGGTCAGATTTTCCAGCTTCCCCCATAGACACAGCGACGCTACAGGAAAATCAGCGACTCGCAACAAGACACGTGGATGCAGAAAAACCAGCATTTTGTGCGAGACTTCCGGCAATTTTCACAGTTGGCAACACGACAAAAAGACAAGTTTTGCAGCTTCCCCCATAGACACGGCGACGCCACGGGAAAACCAGACACGCGAGAAGAGACAGGTGGGAGCACCAAAACGACCATTTCGTGCAAGACTTCCTCCAATTTTCATACTTTGCAGCTCCAAAATCGACGTTTTCCTACGAGTTTTCCTTAGAACCTGAAAATTTGTAACATCAAAATCGATGTTTCGTGCGAGGCTTCCGTCAATTTTCAGCACATGTGAGAAAATGCCACGCCTGCCACGGAATTTGCACCTTGTCACCACTTGACGCAGCCCTGCCAATGCGATTTACAAAAAACACGCAAAAGGACACGTCTAAAGTGCTGCGCCTGCCACGAAAAATGACGATGGACACGTCCAAAGTGCTGCGCCTGCCACGAAAACTGCAACACATCTTCTGAAAACGTCGCAAAAGTATTGCGCCTGCCACGCGAAACGACTTTCGACACGTTGCAGAACACGTCTGAATGTCACGAAGTGCCACGCCTGCCACGCGAAACGAAGCAACCAGACGTCTGAAACCTCCAAAAAGGACCACCTCTGCAAAACTTCCCATAGGCACGGCCATACGGAGTTCGTACGGACGGTTGCGAACGGTTGCGCTCGCGAACGCAACGTCGAGCGAACACACCCTCAACCCCCAGACCCCCAGAGTGAAACGGGAACCCTTGCTACGCATTCGGGAATAACCCCAAAACAGCATGTTCGATCCCAAAGTGCCTTTTTGGACTTATTTTGACTGCCACGCATGGTCCATGACTAACGAGAACTAACTCCCAATTAACATGTTCATACTCCAAAGTGCCTTGTTTCGGAATTATTTTTTCTAATACGGAGGAAAATCATCTCAAACGAAAAATAAGCCCAAAACAGCATGTTCGATCCCAAAGTACCTTTTTGGGCTTATTTTAACTGCCACGCATGGTCCATCACTAACGAGAACTAACTCCCAATCAACATGTTCATACTCCAAAGTGCCTTGTTTCGGAATTATTTTTGCTAATACGGAGGAAAAATCATCTCAAACGGAAAATAAGCCCAAAACAGCATGTTCGATCCCAAAGTGCCTTTTTGGGCTTATTTTTTGCTTTAAATCGGTAATTTTTTTCGTCCCCACATGTGAATCATAATAAAAGCGCCAAAGACTTTGAGCTCAATAACCTGGCGCGTAACATTCCACCAGTTTTACGGGATTGCGGATTGAACGGATTACCGTGGCAAACGCGGATTGGACGGATTAGGGATTGGGATTAGGCCGACTGCAACTTTGAACACCACAGCCTATAGGTCTCCTATTTTTGGAACTTCCGCCACCGCCTTGCGCGGCACTACTAGTATACAATTCAAATACCACGTGTCTGGCTTAAAAGTAGATACATGTAAGTTGGTTGGAAGTGCAATCACCGAGGATGTTTTCAAGCGCGGATCCACGACACCATGTTGTGAAAAACGTTTCCCCAATCCCAGAAGTAAGAGCTAGACCCAGTTCAGTCCAGTAATTTGTCTGAAACATTTTTTTTGTTGCAGTATGAGAAGCTTAGTTTCGGTGCCGTTGGCAAGCAACCAGTTTTCAAGTTCTTGACGGTGTACAGGCGGCATAACTGCCACGCATGCAGTGGATGTGACCAAAAAACACCACTATAATTGGCAGAGGCCGTGCAAACGACATTTACGGCCCGCGCATTCGGGCGGATGCAAATATCATCCTAATTAGCAAAAACCGTGCAGCATAGATCCGTTTGTCAGCCAAATTGAAAATCCTTATTTAAAAACGTGGAAATGAGAAGAACCATTGGGGTTCAGGAAACAATCAGGCACAGCAATTTCAGAAGAACATAGTTCAATCTGTCACTGAGATGATGCGCGCATAAAGTGCCCATGTATAAGAGAGTTTGTAATAGAGGAAAATAAAATGTGCGAATGCTCCTGTGTGTGTGTGTTTGTGTGTTTGTGTTTGAGTGTGTGTGGATAAGTTTGTTCATGCACGCCCGCATGTGCGCGCATGGGCCATTGCTTTCATTTGTTGAATTATGCCTTTGAATAGGCGTGTTGATGGTATATTCAAAACCACAGAACCTCAAAGGATTGGGAATACAGTTTGGTGGATGCTGCCAGTTGTCTAATTGCGTGATTTCACTATGGCTGATGATGTTTTCCAGTTTCAATTCAAAAAGGCGGAACCCAGCAAAAAAAAACAAACAGATGTGGCCCGGAAAGTTCAAACCTTTCAGACAAGGGGAATATACAACCAAATTTTGGTTGTTTGCGGTGTTGATCCTGTTTTGGGTCATATTGTATGGTTTCCACCTGGTTTCAATCCGACTTTGCCATGCAAAGGGCGGAACACCAGATTGTGGCAAAATATGCCTGACTGATATTCTGTAGCCGGCGATAATCGGCAGACCTTCAAGGTCTTCAACACTTTTGAAAGGGGATCGGCCATCATCATCATCATCATCACCCAACTTTGCATCACGGCAATTCTTTCCCATGACCCATTATCAAATTGCTGTCAGATTGGTTTGAAAACAATGTGGAGCATCAGCGACTTTCGGTTTTCTCTTGATTCTGCATCATTGGCTCTGCAAAGCCACAAGATGCGCTCTTGTGGCCGCTCTACACCTTCAGCAACCCCGCTAAGTTCTAGCTTGGTTGCAGCGTTACTCTGGATTTGTTCGATGCCGAGTGGCATGGGTCAAGATTTCAACCCGGTTTGTGGCAAAGTTTGGTGATTGTTTGCCCTCACTACTTCGCAGATGGATTTGGGGAGACATAATCGGCATAATTTTGACCCATGCCCATTTGAGGTGCAGAAAAATCTGTGTGACTCCCATTTGATAGTATTGATAGCTGAACAGGGTCATTCCGCGTGCGACGAAGTTATCCCCGGACGCACAGATTCCAGTCGTTGCCCCGTAACAGGCAGTGCAGTTGAGCTACACCCTGAAAGCACCAAGTACAAACTTAGGTTGCTTGTGATGGAATGGAATCGGACGTCCTCTTGAAAACAGTCGAGGAACTTATAGCTGTTGAGACTTCAGAAATTGTCTACACGCTTGCCAGACCCAAAATCATCAAACACCGCATGTTTTTGAACGGTCAACTTTCAGCTGAGCAAAGTTGTTGGATCAGTCGCCCCAATTTCAGATCTCCAGGTCATGAAATCTTTCGTATGGATGGGAGTGGGTCTTTGCATCCATGTCCACATCCATGCCCAAATTCATGTCCGCATTCATATCATCACGTCATATCACGTCCACATCTATGTCCACTCATGTTGCCGCCTGGAATGACGAACAGCTTGGTCCTTGAAGGCTGGGCAGCTTAACCATCACCAGCTCCAATGAGGACTCGGAGGGCTTGGATGGTCCTTTGACCCCAGGGATTGAGGAATGTTTAAACTGAAGCTCTCAGTTGAGGCTGTAGAAGCTTGGTACCAAACACCAGTTCCTGAGAGCTTTGACATGCTTTGACCGACCAAGTGCTGAAAAACGGAAACGTGATATAGCGTGGGCGTGGGCCATGTAACAGCAGAATGGTTCTGGTATGTTTTGGTCATGATGGTCATGGTTTTCATGAGTTTCATGTTATGGTTTTAGCATCAAAAATGGCACCTGCGGCCTCGTGAAATGGGTCTCAGCACTTTGGACAGAATTCACTGACCCGGAAGCGCATTGAAAGACAGCTTGTGCCAAAATGCGCCCAAGCAGCATTCAGCATCCATGATTCATGCAGCTGAAATGGTGTGCCGTGCTGACAGATGCTGACAGCTGACAAAAAGAGGAGAAAAAAAAAGCTTCAGCAGAGAGCCGGGAAAATTCAAAGCATCACAATCACAGAGCTTAATTTATGTCATATTCATGTCATATTCATGTCATTCACGTCTGCGCAGGCGCCAGGCTATGCCAGGCCAAAGGAATCACACAACGGTTTCGTTCAGTTCTGGTTTTTTCGCCTATCTCAGTTCTGCATAGTTCTGCATAGTTCTGCATAGTTCTGCATTCTACATACGGGGCTAGGTTCCAAATGGATTCCAAATGGGTTCCAAATGGTCACTGGTCGGTTTAGAGTGTCCAGATGTAAAAAAGCGAAAATATCCATGCTATGTCCTGGCACACCTTTTCTGAATCCGCCATTCCCCATATTCCCCAGAGAATCGAGTCTCGCCGCAGCATTTGTGCGCCATTTACCAAAGGGGTGATTCGCGCTGGGCGCCAGATCATTGAGGCCGTGGCGCTGAGTACGCACCGTGAATCACATCATTTGCCAGGTTGAAAGGATTCATCATGATTATGCCAAGAATATGCCGTGAAATGTGGTGAATATATGTGCACATATGTGTGTATATTAATATTGTATATATATATACATACATACATACATACACATACATACACATACATACACATACATATACATACATATACATACATATACATACATATACATACATATACATACATATACATACATATACATACATATACATACATATACATACATATACATACATATACAGACATATACATACATATACATACATATACATACATATACATACATATACATACATATACATACATATACATACATATACATACATATACATACATATACATACATATACATACATACATGCTGATACATACATACTGATACATACTAATTACATATGTTTTTGTACACACACACACACATCATATATCACACACACACGCACGCACATATGTATATATATATATATTGTGACTTATTTGCAAGGATGGTGGCACCCTTCCGCAAAACGAAGAGCCTGAGATCTGAGGCCTTTCCTGCTGAGAGAAGGGTCGCAATGTTTTCTTAAACTTGTTTGGGAACTCCGGGGGCATATCATACATGTCGAAGTGCCAACGAAAAGCATACTGCAATGGTGTTATTTGACAATGTTTTTCCAAAGCCACAGCAGGAACACTAGGGTCACTAGGATCCTGAGTCGCTTTGATTCGGGTGCTCCGAGCTCACTGATCTCACTCAACATCACTGTGATTACTGTAGTCTGTCATACAGAGGACGAAGAGCAAGACTTTCAGCTTGTCGTGAAGATGACGTTTCTTGAATATGTGCCAGACAGGCTGGACACAAATCACGCCATGAACAAGTGCTTTCAGACTTTTTCACTGATTGTGAATGTGTCGGAGTCAAGACCCCAGTTCACGCTAACTACATTCTGACTAGATGCTGACTAGCTCATATTTGCCAGGGTCTTGCAGCGGAGCCGAAGTTGCAGCGCTCCTGCGACTTGCAAAAACAACAGCTCTGCTGTGCACAACGGCAGCACAAGCGGCGGTTTTTCCAGAGAGTGTCTGGGATAGCACAACAACACGGTGGGATTGGCTCCTAGCAATGTCGCCAGATGTCGCCAGATGTCGCCAGATGTCGCCAGATGTCGCCAGATGTCGCCGGATGTCGCCGGATGTCGCCGGATGTCGCCGGATGTCGCCGGGTGTCGCCGGGTGTCGCCGGGTGTCGCCAGATGTCGCCAGATGTCGCCAGATGTCGCCAGATGTCGCCAGATGTCGCCGGATGTCGCCGGATGTCGCCGGATGTCGCCGGATGTCGCCGGGTGTCGCCGGGTGTCGCCGGGTGTCGCCAGATGTCGCCAGATGTCGCCAGATGTCGCCAGATGTCGCCAGATGTCGCCAGATGTCGCCAGATGTCGCCAGATGTCGCCAGATGTCGTCGGATGTCGCCGGATGTCGCCGGATGTCGCCGGATGTCGCCGGATGTCGCCGGATGTCGCCGGGTGTCGCCGGATGTCGCCAGATGTCGCCAGGGCTGGCGTATCAGAACTGTCGGAGAAGTTGATTTTTTCCGGCCGAAGAACTGAGTGATCCTTTGCATCCAAAGTGGGGATACAGTAGATCTACGGTATCACCTCATTTCAGGGCGGTGCAGATTATTGGACTGCGTTGTTGGGATGATATTTGCTCAATTCTACATTGTGGGAATAGAAGTAGAAATCACAATGCGTTAAAGTAGTACCACAAAGCCAGGTTGTCAAACTCGGTAACCCGATCAAATGTACATCGTGTTGAGAATGATGATCAACCGCCGTAAAAGTCTGACATTGACCGCACGCACTTAGCGTGAACTAATAGCCAAACAGAACCAAACTGTGCTCATCTTCTGGATACACACAATAGTGCTACACGGTGTTACACTAGATAAGAATGGATCATTGTAGTGATCCGGCAGGAACTGAATCCTGTAACATGCAAATTAGATGAGAATGATGTTGGGGTCCTTGCCATCACAGTGAAAAATCGCAGGTACGCCAGACTGATCAGGTCTGGTATCACCACCAATTGCAAGTGTCTTCGTTGGCAGTAGACTTGTAATGGTGCTACTGCCCCCTGCATTATTTAAGAAGGGAGAAGAGGGAAGAAAAAAGAAGGAAGTTTTACATCTATCCAGATGTTACACACACACACCCACACACACCCGGCAGAGCCGGGAAAACCCTGAAAGGCAAGAGGAAGAAAAAAAAAGCGGACACACGACGGGCCGACGGCCAAAAACAGCGCAGGGGTAGGGGAACAGACGGACCTCCGGAACCAACCTACACGGCGAAACGGACCTGACAAAAACAGAGCACACACCTAAACCCAACGACACACTACGGAGAAGCCAGCAGGAGGGTTATTAGGGACCAATGGGGACTAGTTGGTGGAAAAAAGGAAACAACAAAATTGTCAAACAGGACTCAGTTCCTAAAAAACCTAAAGGTCGTGCGTTATTCCCTTGCCGGGACCGTGGTCAAGTCTTGCCCCAATTGGCATAAACGGCTTTCAAGTTCCAGCGAATTAGGTGCACAATATGTTTGACCTCACAAGAAAACCAAAAAGAAAAAACACCACACCTGCAAGTCGTGTGCCTGCCTGGTTCTTGTGTCATGTAATGATGCAATGTGACTTCAAAAGTTGCTGCGAAAAAAGAGGTTTCTGAATGTTCGGCACAGCTTCACACAGTAGAAATGCATTCCACAGGGTTCACAAAGGACAGCCGGAGCAGCGAGAATCTCCAAAAAACGGTGGATAACAGTAAGGCCACAGTTGCACTTTACTTAAACGAATTACTAATTCAAAAGTGTAAATTCGGAAGTCAATTCAGTCGACATTCACCCCAAATAGGGTTGCCTCAATTGGCCCTATGGCACCATGTCGGAGTCACCATAGGAATCACATTAGATAAGAATGGATCATTGTAGTGATCCGGCAGGAACTGAATCCTGTAACATGCAAATTAGATGAGAATGATGTTGGGGTCCTTGCCATCACAGTGAAAAATCGCAGGTACGCCAGACTGATCAGGTCTGGTATCACCACCAATTGCAAGTGTCTTCGTTGGCAGTAGACTTGTAATGGTGCTACTGCCCCCTGCATTATTTAAGAAGGGAGAAGAGGGAAGAAAAAAGAAGGAAGTTTTACATCTATCCAGATGTTACACACACACACAAGCGTGTGTATATATTAATATTCTTTCTTTTCCCATCTCATCTCATCTTATCTCATCTCGTCTATCAGTCTATCTACTACCCCTCATATCTCTTCTTTGGATTTGTTTCGTACGGTTGCCCCAGATGTCCAAAACTCATGGTAAAACATTGAAACAACTCATCGGATCATCGGATCCATCGGATCCATCGGATCCATCGATGGAGGCTTTCCGAGGACTCCGTCACCGGCTCCACGGACACCGCGGACACCTCCCCATCGCTGGGATCAACTCTTCATCAGCCACTTGGATCCGGATTTCATGGGGAATTTCATGGGATAGTTTAATGATGCTCTATGGGATATACATAGTTACTATACGTATATACATATATATATATGTATAAACGCTACCGTGGGTAAACACGAAAACACCATATATTACGCGCAGCTCTGGCTTTCAGGGTATGTGGGGGCACGCCGCAACTTGCGGGTGCCCTTTGTGTCATTGCCTACGTAGGATTTTCTACCTGATCAACCTTGGGCAAGGACGTGTGGCCTTCAACGGCTTTGCGGTGTGTGCTGCCCGAACCTTCGAGGCGGACCTGAGGGACGAGCTTGCCAGGTTGGGGCCACCTCCGGCCCCTGCCAGTGAGGCCAAAGAGGAGGACAAGAAAGGGGAGACACCGCCAGTCTCCCAGGCTGCCCCAGCAGAAGGAACCCCAGAAGGGAGGTTAAATCTAACTCCCAAAGTCCCTCCGCCACAACCGCCGCCAACGGTTGTCAAAAGTGAGGAGTCCGCCACTCCAAAAGCTGAGAAGGAGGAGAAGGTTAAAGAAGCCAGCCAAGAAGTTCGACGAGGAGGAGAAGAAAAGCCCAAGGAAGAAAAGGAGCGAGCTGCCAGTAGTGGAAGAAATAGACGCCGAGAATCAAGAGATCGCCGCAGGGGAGACGAGAGGACTCCCAAAAGAGACAGGAGCAGGAGGAGAGAAAGACGTAGCCGAGATCGAGACCGCAAAAGGAGGCACGAAGAGGACACTGAGGAAGAGAGGGAAGCTGGTGGAAAGGAAAAGAAGCGCAGGTCAGAAAAGCCACCGGAGCCTGCTGGACCTCCCCCACATCGACGGCAAGAATCTCAGTGGGTTCCGCGTGAACCTAACTATCCCCCACCCACCCCCAGAGGTGGTGGGTGGCGAGGGGAACTACCGAGGAGTGATCACCCCCGGTGGACCGAGTCTACGAACAAGGGCTTGGTAAAGAGAGGCAAGCAGGAGCTGCACGCCCGAAGACGTGAAGGGCGTCGGTGAGCTAGAATGGCGCCGAAGTTAGCGCCGAGGCGAAGACCTGCGGCTGGAAAAGCTGCCTTGAGGAGACCTGCCAGGGCAGTGGAGGCGGCTGAAAGAGAAGAAGAGGAAGAGACTAAGCTTCGCAACTTTGCAGACGTGGACCCTAGAGCTGTGGCAAGTGTCAAGGCCCTACATCTCCCAGACGCAGTCTACTACGGGAGAAGGATCAAGTTGGCGGGGCATGTCAAAGGCCTGAGGAGTGAGGCAGGGGACTGGTTCTTAGACCTAGAGGTCAGTGGGACCAGAGATGAAGATCTCCTGAGGATCCTTTCAGGAAAGCGGTCGAAGGTCATCAGTGTGCACCTTTGCACTCGTGACTGTAACCAGCAGCTGACCGATGAACTGCTGGTTCATGGCGACAAGTATGAGGAGGTGAAGCTTGATGAAGAGGGTTGGATGAAAAACTTGTTGAAGGTTCAAGCGATTCCAGGTGAGGAGGACGACCTGGTAGAGCTTCGGCGTGAGCAAGAAAGAATGGAGGCAGCGGCCAAAGAAGACAAGAAGTTGAGCAAGAAGGAGAAACGAAAGAGAAAGGAGGACGCAGATGAGGGGAGGCGAGGTAAGTCTCCCAGGGCAGGTGAGGACGAGAGAGAAGTTGGGCAGAAGAGCTTGGATGCTGTGTTTGGCGGCACAGGAATGGATCCAAGTCCAAAGAGCAGGTCGAAGGTGCTGAAAAAAGCACGGAAGATAGCCAAAAGAGAAAAGAAAGGAAAGAAGAAAAAAGAAAAAGGCAGCAGCAGCGAGGAAGGAGGCAGTACGTCGTCATGTAGCAGTTCAAGTTCCTTGGATATGGGTGACAAAGCCATCTTCGAAGAGGAGAAAAAGTTGAGGGCAGTTTGGAAGCGCTGCCCGGGAGCCCTATCTTCGAGGAGCCTGCAAGAGATCAAAAGGTCCTTGGTCACTGCTGCGGGGACAGCGTGGGAGCTGAATAAGCAGGCGCTTCCACCACTGTTCACCCAGTATTGCCGACAGGTGGTAATGCCGGGGATGAGCGCTTCCCTTCAACAGGAAGTCATCACGATAAGTCAATCACTTGACTTGATGACTCAGGGGAAGATCGCCTCGAGCATGGATGTGCTCACCCAACGCCTTAAGAGCCTGGAGGCTCTGGGGCGGGGGGCACATTGGACGATGTGCAGGCAATATGAGTTGGTAAAGACGGAGGAAGGTGGCATGACTGAGAACCAGGAGAAGTTGTCAGCCGTCCGACAAGCACGAGAAGAAGACCGTCTACGCAACTTGATGAGCAGGCCAAGTTCTGGTAAGGGAGGAGATTTCTCCCAGCCTATGGGTGGAAAGACGCGAAAGGGAAAGGACTCAAAAGGGGCTGGCAAGAATCAGGCCACTGATGCAGGGAAGAACCGAGGAGGTACTGGAGGCAGAGAGGAGACAAAGCCCCAATGGCAAAAGAAGTGAGAATGAAAAGAGGTGTGGCATCAGAGGATGAGTCTAGCGAGCCCATAGGGCAGGCTGAGGTTGGCGCTGAGGAGGCTATCGCAGAAAGTGGTATCACCGCCGAGGATATAGAAACCCTGATCGACGAAGCTCGTGAGAGGGCCTTGGCAGAAGACGGGAGACACCCTGTTTGGCGGCAGGGCCTCTCCCAAACTGAAGGTGAATTCAAAGATCGTTGCATGGAGGGGAGTGGACAAACCGCACAGGTTCACTCCCAAGAGTTTCACATCAAGATGCGGGGGCTAGTAGAAGCTTGTCTTGAAGCAGCCGCTGGAGTCCTCAAAGTCGGGAGCCTGGGTTCCTTAGTGGTGGATGCGCTGATGATGCTTGAAAAACCTTGTTGCAGATCAGGGTCCAATGCAGGGAAAGGTAACCTATTTCCTCTTCCTGTGGCGCATTTCAACCATCACAAGGAGCCCCATTCCGCGTTTTTCCGGGCCGTTTTGTCTGGCCTCAACAGCCTACATAGCTTCGGCGATAGTGGGCAGGATGAAAGACTTTCTCCTGTGGCACGATTGGTGTGCAAAAGGTTGGAAAGAGTGGTGAAGGGATCAGCTATCCTTGAAGAACCACTTCCTGACATCAATTTTCAATCCTTCTTTAGCCTCAAAGGGTTGGACTATTCAGGGGAAGAAGTGAGGCTGGCCATGCCTATAAATTGGACAAGTATTGAACCTTCACTGCCCCCGGAAGTTGGCTGTTTGGACATCAGGGATTTCTGTTGTGGAGGGGTTGCACATTTTATTAACCACATTGACGAGACGATCCTGCCGGTGGAAGATCAAGTGAGATTGGAGCCCCCATCAGTCATGATTCAGGGTAATGGTTGGGAAGAAGTTGCACATGGTTTAATTCATCGGGGACTTTGTGAATTGGTTTGTGAAGATTCTCTTTTCAAGATCAACGGTGAAGTTCTCCTGAACGGCCTCTTCTCAGTCAGTAAAGATGAATACAAGGATGATATTTTACTTTCCCGTTTGATCATGAATTTGAAGCCCTGGAACCGAGTGAGTCGTAGTTTGGATGGCGACGTCTGCACTTTACCCGCGGTGACCCAATTGGCATCCCTCTACCTCCATGATGAAGATGTACTAGTCACATCCTCCGAGGACTTGAGATGCTTTTTCTACCTCTTTCGAGTTCCTCCTTCGTGGACAAAGTTCATGGCCTTCGGAAAGGAGGCGCCGCGTAGCTTGGTGCCCGACGGGAAGGAGCATAAGAAGTGGTATTTAGCCAGTAGAGTTTTGCCGATGGGGTATTTAAACAGTGTTGGAATTGCTCAGCACATCCACCGTGCCGTGGTTCTGAAAGCTATGGGGTCGCTGAAAGGCCTAGGGCTTACGATTCAGGAGCTTAGGCGGGATCGCTGTTTTAGTGCCTTTCCTAATCTGTTTAGGGTATACCTTGACAATTTTGATCAACTACAAAAGCTTGATCGGAAGACTGCGCTACTGATAGCGGAGTCGCCCTCAGAAGTGGTGGAACAGTTAAGGGAGTGCTACGCTCACAGCGGACTCCCAAGACATCCAAAGAAGACAGTGCAACAGAAGCTTGGTGCTGAAGTCCAAGGAGCTTGGCTTGACGGAGAACAAGGAAAACTCTTTGCAAAGCCTGTGAAGGTTGCCAAGTATGTCCGCTTGGCCTTAGAGCTGCTGGCGCGTGGAAAGGCCTCACAACGTGAGCTGCAGGTAGTTGGGGGAGGCTTCGTGTATGTGGCCATGTTCAACAGGCCGTTGTTGTCCAGCCTGAATCAAATCTGGCGTGCCATTGTGGAAGCCGAGGTTCACCCACCTACTATGAGGTTCTGGTTGAAGAGGGAGGTCATGGTGGAGCTGGTGAGGTTTATTGGGTTATGCCCTTTAAGCTTTATGGATTTTCGGGGCAAGTTTGACGCCATGGTAACTGCAAGTGATGCTTCAACGACGGGGGGGGGGCATTTGCAAAAGCACGGGTCTTACGCCATATGGTTATGCGGCTAGTTGGAGCCAGGTTAGGGGTGATATACCTGAGGAGCTGGAGCTCACACAGATCCTCAGTGTGGGCCTCTTTGATGGAATCGGGGCACTTAGAGTTGCTCTTGATGCATTGAAGGCCCCTGTAGCTGGCCACATTTCCGTTGAGAACAACCCGGAAGCTAGAAGGGTGGTCGAATCGAACTTTCCAGACTGCGAGCATGTGGAAGACATTCATGAAGCAACTTGGGAAAAGGTCCACACCTGGTCCCTAAGGTTTTCCAACGTAGGTCTGGTTTTGGTAGGGTCAGGACCACCCTGCCAAGGGGTGTCAGGTCTGAACTCCGACCGCAAAGGTGCACTCAGAGATCAGAGGAGCCGTTTGTTCAAGGAGGTACCTCGTGTGGTAGGTATGTTCAAGGTGGCATATGCTTGGGCCCAGGTGCATAGCATCACCGAGAATGTCGCTTCAATGGACTATGATGACTGCCTTTTGATGAACAAAGAGTTTGAGCTAGAACCCTGGTTTATTGACGCCGACGGAATCAGTTTGGCGCACAGACCCCGGTTGTATTGGCTGACTTGGGAAGTCAATGAAGATGAAGGGGTGGAAATCTTTTGGGGAAGTGGCAACAAACTCCCTCTGAAAGGGCAGATCAACCTGAAGGCCGAGGTCGAGGACAAGTGCTTCTTGGAGAAGGGATGGACCCGGTCCTCCCAGACACCACTGCCTACTTTCACTACATCGAGGCCAAGTTCCAAACCATTGCGGCGGCCGGCCGGGCTGAGAGACTGCGGCGAAGAAGAGATACGCCGATGGAAAGCTGACTCACATCGATTTCCACCCTATCAGTACATGGATCGGCATTGTTTGACAAAAAGCGACGGGAGTTTTAGGACTCCCAACATCCAGGAACGGGAGGCCATCATGGGATTTCCTCCCAACTACACGCTCCAGTGCCAGAAGAAGGAGTTCCATGGGACAGTGGGGCATGAAGATTGTCGGCTCAGTCTGATTGGAAACTCATGGAATGTAGGGGTGGTGGCATGGTTGCTGCAACAACTACTCAATAGGTTGGGGCTAACTCAACCCATGCCACTTCAGGAAATTGTGAATGAGCTCACGCCAGGTAGGTCATCTCATCTTCAAACATTGCTGCTGCGCCCTCCCTTTGGCCAAGGAACTCAGACCTTCTCTCCCAATGATCAGTTAGTGGCCAAGCTGTCGGGCTTGGTCTCTAGGAAGGGAGAGGATCTGATGCTGCAGGGCGTGTCCGAGGTCCCAGTGCGTCATCACCGTCTTCGTTCAGGAGTGCCAGCAAAGCTTTGGCGCTGGACGCCAGTGTCTGGTTGGAAGTGGAAGGGTGACGTGGAGCACATCAATGTGTTAGAGGCTCGAGCGGTATTCACTACGCTCAAGTGGCGTGTGCTCCAACGGAAGCAGCTCAATGTTAGGTGTGTACATTTGGTAGATAGCCTGGTTGTACTTCATGCATTGTCAAGGGGAAGATCTTCTTCAAGAAAGATGCGGCGTACCATTATGCGGATTAGTTCTTACCTACTTGCTAGCGGGCTCCGCCCTGTATGGGGCTATGTCAATACAAAAGACAACCCAGCCGATCGCCCATCGCGCTGGGGCACCAAGAAAAAATGGTTAAAACAGTGAATGTTTGTCTAGGAGCCGGCAGCAAAGAAAGTAGGAAACAGATCCGCAAAACCCTTGGTACACTCAAAAGTCTTACAGCGCAAGAAAAGACTAAAAGCCGCTATAGCTCTTCTCTCTCTGACTTTTTCACCTATCTTCGACATGAAAACCTCGAGCTACCCACAAAGAAAGATTGTATGGATGGCTTGGTGTCGGACTATCTAGAGTATTTGTGGGTCCAAGGGGAGGGACGTGCCACAGCTAGCACCTTCATGGCTGCTCTACAGGATTTCTCTTCAAAGCTGCGGCACAACCTCCCAGCCTCCTGGCGCTTGATGAAAACCTGGTCTATCCACGAGATACCCTCGCGTGCACCTCCCCTGACTGAACCTGTCCTTCGCGCAATGGTAGGTTGGTCTATTTTGCAGAACTATGAGACCTTTGGGTTAAGCCTACTAGTTGGTTTCTATGGACTGATGCGAACAGGTGAACTGTTGTCACTGCAAGCTTGGCAGATACATATGAGTTCTCCAACTCAACCTGCGGTAATCAATCTAGGGCTGACTAAATCGGGGAAAAGGCAAGGTGCCGCTGAAAGCATTACCCTTACTGAGAAGCACGTGCTTCAACATTTGTGGGCCTGGAAATGTCGTGTCCCAGAACACACGTTCCTTACTTTAAAGCCCCATGCGTGGCGTAATCTGTTTTCAGAGTGTATCCAGAAACTCAAATTAGACAAATGGGAATTTCGACCCTATTTCTGTTTGTGAAAGGAGGTTCTTTGGATAAAGTCCTCTTAGCTGGTAGGTGGACCGCTTTGAAGACTGCCCGGATTTATATTAATTCTGGCTTAGCCATGCTCACGGAAATTCAAGTCCCTAAACCTTTGTTGACTCCGTTTCACCGTATTTTTCTTACTTGGAATTCAAAGCCCTCGCTTGAGCAAGTTCTCTCCGAGAACAGAGCAGGGGGACGTGGAAAGAGCGCAAAGCTCAAAAGATCCCAAAAAAGGGAGGGGGAAAGTGGCTGTGATAATTTTCAGGGTCTTATGTGAAAGCCTGTTTTTATTTCAATTTATTTCAATCGATTGTCCGTGTCTCGGGCCTGAGCTTTTACGGGGTGGCGTGAAAGTCAGGGGACACTGGGAAGCATTTTTTCCTCCTGGTGTGGCGGAGGGGAAATGCTTGAGCCCGTAAGAAGGTAGTGGGTGGTACCTTCTATTTGACAATCATTTCCCTATATTTATGGTTCTTAATTGTTTCAACTTTGACTAACTTGATCTGCAACGCACGTAAAAAGTGGTGTTGTGAGTGTTTGTATAAACGCTACCGTGGGTAAACACGAAAACACCATATATTACGCGCAGCTCTGGCTTTCAGGCCCGCCCCCCCTCCCAAGAGCGCAAAGCTCAAAAGATCCCAAAAAAGGGAGGGGGAAAGTGGCTGTGATAATTTTCAGGGTCTTATGTGAAAGCCTGTTTTTATTTCAATTTATTTCAATCGATTGTCCGTGTCTCGGGCCTGAGCTTTTACGGGGTGGCGTGAAAGTCAGGGGACACTGGGAAGCATTTTTTCCTCCTGGTGTGGCGGAGGAGAAATGCTTGAGCCCGTAAGAAGGTAGTGGGTAGTACCTTCTATTTGACAATCATTTCCCTATATTTATGGTTCTTAATTGTTTCAACTTTGACTAACTTGATCTGCAACGCACGTAAAAAGTGGTGTTGTGAGTGCTTATATATATATATATTTATTTATTTATTTATCTATTTATTTATTTATTATATCATATATATATGTATATATTGGGATATTAAACATATGGTATTTTCTACGCCGATGATTTTAGAATTTCACATGTTTATTCATTATGTTTCATGGGATGGGTTTACACGAAAAAAATGGGACACCCTGCGTTTGAAGAGAACAAACTGATGTAAAGTGTGCCATCCCAATGAGGGTCTCGAGGGTTTGACGCTTCAAGTGGGGAATTGATCCATAAAGAATGGGGATGTGATCCACTGATGGTTGCTTAATAGTGAAATCATCATGTCGAGCCAAAGAACCGGTTTAGTGGGGATTCTTGTCATCCAAGAAGGAGATGAAGGAGCTTGAGGTTCTAAGTTGCTTGGTTGACACCGTACTATCAAAAACTTCGCAAACCATATTGTTATCGCATGAATATTTGGGACATTTCATCCCGTAGTGTTTGGTGATGTTTGATGATTTTGACTTCGCTCGATAATGGAATCGAAGCTGGTGCCGGAGCCTTTACCGTCACCCTTGACATCCCTTATATCCCTTGCGGAGCACACCTTTGTCATTTGAAGCCCGCAGCCCGCTTCAAATGTGCGCCAGGTTCGGCACCTGCAAACCGTGCGCCTGGTTTTGGAAATCTTCCGGTGGCTTGGATCAGCTTGGTACCGGATAGCCGGAGCACAAAAAGGGACACCGACTTATGTGGATGTAGGTTCGCCATGGTTCAGCATGGTTCGTCCCTGGCCTTTGAAGCACAGTTTTCATAGCTTTCATCAGTTTTCCATGCAAGGCCTCATTTTGGACTTCCTCGTTTCACTAGACACGCTAAACATCACTCAGCCACCACGGCTTTGTCTGCTCCAGCTGCTCATTAAGGATGTAACAATGGAGCTCAATGCAGGCCCTTCGGAGTTTGGGGGCACATACATAGACATCCATAGACATCCATAGAGACTCCAGAAGAAGATACTGACTTCAACAGATATCAAACATGTAAATAATTAGAAAAGCATTTGAAAGCACCTATGGACTGGCCTACGGATTGCGGCACTGAACAGGTTTCAAATAGAAACGGGAAGCAACATGTGAAGATCTCTGACCCACTGCTTTCGGTTATTTCGGACAAGTCTGTCTGACAAGGCATTGTCACCTATGCCCTTTTGGAGAGTTGGGCCGGCGCAAACGCCACTCGCATGAGTGTTTTTTGGGGGGCCCTACTGCGGGAGAGCCTTTTCTCTTGAGAACTTGAACTTGAGCTACACCCGTCCTCTATACATTTCATTACATTTCCCATGGCGAATACGTGCCGGTAGCCCCATAGCTTTTCTAAGGCCAGAATCGAAAGCTCGCACGAAGCAGCCGAGACGCTCCTGTGTCAGACACTTCCATCGAAGACCTGTTGACATTTTCGACGGAATCCACGGAGCCGATTTCACTGGAAGCAGCGGAAGGAGTCGAGGCAAACCCACGGCGCTTGGTTCCTCGTGCGCAGACTTGGCAAGGAACGACAACGGCGACATCTCAACGCAACACATATCTACGAGCACAGACATGGCAACACACGGTCAACCTGCAGACTGTTCCCGAAGGAATTCGGGGGGAGAGAGGAACTAGATCCATCGGGTTAATCTATGTTAATCTATGTTAATCTATTTCCACCATCAGCCTTCCCATATATTCTGTTTATCCCATGTTATTCATTCTATTTCATTCTCGTGGCCTGTTGTCAGCAACTCAATGACAGCTGCCGCTAGAATTAGGAGGATTAGAATATATATATATATATTATATTATATTATATTATATTTTATTTTATTATATTATATTATATGATTGTATAGTGTCGCAGCAGTTGCATGTTTTGAAGACTATATCATAATATTTTATTGCATCAACTTTCTTCGCTGCACGCAGGATCCTTGTCCTCTCCCGTGGTCTTGTTGCTGCCCGTCGCCTCTTGGCTCCGCTTGGCTCAGTGGAGATTTCAGGTTGGAGGTGGCTCAGGTTGACACTGAAGACTCATGGAAGACTCATGGAAGACTCATGGAAGACTCATTGACCATGTGACATGTGACATGTGACCATGTGAAGACCATGTTGAAAGATGTTTGTCAGTTGAAATATGTTGAAATAGGTTGAAATCCTGCACCTCTTTGCATCCGAATCCTTCCTCTCAGGTTGCAAACGTGCTGCCGACCGCTTCACCGCCCTCGAGCACCCCAAACACCCCAAACACCCAAAGCAATTCTGGACCGTAGACGTCCTGATCCCGGAAATTCCCGCAGTTTTGAGGACCTTGGGACCTTGGCTCGTTGAGCATGCATGTTTTAAGCGCGCAGTGCTTGGCCTTCATTTGAATCATTTAATTGATATACAGTATATACATGTATATTATACAATGACCATGTTTTTATGTCTGTGAGATTTTGAGTCCATTTGCCAAGGTTGTTCTTCATCCATAGCTGTGTCCATCTGCGAAAAAGCTTTCTCAACTATCAACATCAACATGTCCAAGCTGCGTGCCCTGGTTGTGTTTATTGTACGGGCGCGCATGCCAACAAATAGACTTGCTTAGCAAGATGCTGTTTTGTGTTGACTAGCATCGTTGCTTCCAGGTCCAATCAGGATTCACCACTCTGCGCCTGGTCCCATGGCCCATGACACTCCGTGACGCTCCGCCAAGGTATCTGTAAATAATCCAGCCAACATGACACGACACATCAAGACACTTAAGAATTTCACCATCAAAACTCGGAAAAAAACTGTGACAAATTATGACATGCAAATCTAAATGTGTCAGATGATCAACTGACATATGTTGATATCACTAGATGTCCTACGAGTGTTGTCAGATGTCTGCGGATCCGGGGTCGCGAATTCATGTCGCAGCATGGGGTTATGCTGAAGCGGCATTTGCCGTCAGCCTGGCCGAAACCCCCCTGCACGGGTTGGTTCGTGCAACCACCCACAGGGAGAATCAGCCCGGCTGTACCATGCTGTACCTTCCTTGAAGCAACTGGGAGGATCTCGTCTTGATTTACTTGGTGAAGTGGCTATAACATGCTATAACTGGGCTAACGATGGCGAACTGGCTAGCAACCAAATCTGATGGACCCTGAAAAGACAAACCCAGTTCAGAAACACAACGCTCGACACCTTTGAGAAATTGGTGATGGAAACATGTTGAAACCTCAACCTGCAGGCATGCTGTTGTTTGTGTGTGTATGTGTGTTGTGGTCGATAATTACAGAAATTCTCTAACTCGGTTCTATCGATTGTCATGAAAAGAATAAGTTTGTCGGGCTAATGCCAGGCCCACATTGCCCCGGGCAAAATTTGGAATTTGGACTCCACTACCTCTTGTTCAACTAGTTTGGAAATAGGCACTCAGCTAACACGTGGTAGCACCTATACCGTAAAATTCGCATCACGGCCTGCAGTCACCCTCTTATTGGGTCCTTTGTGAGGTTGCTTCGTGCAACCACTGCATTCAGGGAACGGAGCGCTTGAAGTGCCGCGCCACTGGGTCCACTGGGTCCACGATGCCCAGAGATGCCCAGAGGCATAGTGATCCGTGAAAGTACGGATTATTGCGGATTGGTTTTGTGCTCAGCTGGTACTACTTGCCCGCAGAACAAAACGACTGATTCAACCGAAGTAGGAGACTGCATCACTCCAAGCCTCCGCGGAGAATTTGGAGAGACAACAAACTCAAGGTATATATCCAAAGTGGCCACAGAGCATTGAATGATGTTGGCACAAGCCTCTGGAAGTCCAAGACAGTACCGAGCAGAATGGCTTCTAGCAATGTAGACATATTCAAAACATTTCAAATTCAAAGATAGATGTATTGCAATGAATTCACCATAATTCACCTTTGGATGACTTTACCATGGTACACGTGTTACACATCGTACGCGTGTATTTCATCGATGATATCGATTCCATGTAGCATGAAGCGGACAAAGATGATCAAAGATGCGTTTTGAGGGGCGGTGCAGTCATTGTCCAAGGCACCACACATCAAGGCGATGTGAAAATCGAAATGCTTCGGAATGCATCGAATGAATCGAATCAGTGCATGACCCATCGTGACACCGTTACTCGATGTTACTCGATGTTCCTCGATGTTCGTACAGAAGCTGTCGATCATCCCCTCACCTTGGTACATGAGTTGACCTTGAAGTTACCCTGTGATTACAAAAGGTCAATGTGATTTATGTTTCTCGATTTTTTGGATCAAAACCCCGCATCTCTCCACGTTGTTCCAGCAGTTCTGATCTTTAGAATAAAGTCGGCCCCGGTCCTTTTGACGGTGCAGGATTCTGCTCTAGACTTATCATGGCCAACTGAGCTACAGAAGGGTTGTAGTAGTTTGAATTAAAAATGCGAAAAAAATGTCCAAAAAAATGTGTTTTAAAAATGCATTATTTTTGAAATGTGAAAAAATGTATTTAAAAATGTGAAAAATGTGAAAACATGTCTTTTTTAAAGCAATTTTGAAGCTTTGTTCTCTTTTCCTTTTGCATTTGATTTTATGTTTTTGCTCCTGGTAGTCATTGTTTTGCTATAGGTAAATCAAACAGATCTGCGATCTGCACAGTCCACTTCCGATCGATTTGAACTGCTCCTCTCCGATTTTCAACCTGCAGAAGTTGGGCAGGCAGCAAAGTAACTGCAGCAAAACTGTACCCCAAAAAATCAAACCTGAAGAAAAAAATCAGAGTTCCACCTTCCCAACTGGATTTTCAAACGTTTTTTGTTCACATTTGTTTATATTTTTTCACAGTTTTTCCAAGCGCATTTTCAAAACGCATTTTTTCACAAATGTGAAAAAATGTGAAAAAAATGCGTTTTGAAAATGCGCTTGGAAAAAAATGTGAAAAAATGCGTTTTGAAAATGTGGAAAAAAATGTGAACAAATGTAAACATGGGAACAAAAGGCAGTTGAAAAGTTCCAACCTAGACCGTGAAAATCGATAAATCCCTGAACGCGTGTAGTCTAGAGTTATCATGCCAGTTTCCAGCTACAAGCTTGAAAACAATGATTAATTAAAAATGTGAAAAACACGTGAAATAAATGTGAAAAAAAAAACATTTTGAAAATGCATTTTAAAGAAATGGAAAAAATGCATTTCAAAAATGTGAAAAACATGCGAAAACATGTGAAAAAATGTGGAAAAAAGAGGACGTTACATGTTTTTATACGTTTCCTAATTTAAATTAAATAAAATTTACATTCATTGTGAATCCATTGACATGAATCATTGAAAATGAATATATGCTTCTGCGGAATCCTAATGTTTAAGTTTAATATTCTATAATTTAACATTGGATTTCAAAGAAAACCTGAAAAAACACCTGCCTATATCTGGAAAAAACCAATGGGAAAAATGGAGCTAAGAAACAGGAGCTGGGATGAATGGACATGGGAGTAGTCACAGTCACAGTCAATGTCACTAGTTTCGCCATGGATTTTGGATTTGCGATTTGAATCCATGCCCTGCATGCCCTGCATGCCCTGGGTCTTGGGGATGTGCAGCGACAGCTTATTTTTCGCAGGTGTTGTACAGTTCGGCGTTTCTGCTTCGTTGCTGAGCGCGGCGAATCTTTCTCCATTCGCATCATGGGATGGTCATGGATGGTCATGGATGGTCATGGGTTGAGTAACATTCTGTAGGTTTGGGGTTTGGGATGTTTTTGTGCATCTCTGGGTGTGATGCCTCTGGGACCATTTTCATGGATTTTGCATATGATTTTGCCAAACTGTCTCACTCGTGGATGGACTTGTGGGTGCACAAAGATCCTGATTCCAAAAGTTGATTGGAAAAGTTGAGGATTCCCACACTGAGGTGATAGATGGTGATAGCAATATGTAACGCATCAATTAATGAAGCCATCATCGGGAACAATATCGAAAAGTCATATTGACATCATTTTGTTGCGATTGGAGCTGGACGAATGTCCATGCCAAGCCGGAGTCCACAGCGAGAGCCTAAGTCTAAGTGCCATAGCTTTTTCTGCCCGCGCTGTTGGAAAAAAACCCGGAGTTTAGAAACGGACATTCGTCAAGCCCGTGATATCCATCGGGTGACTGGACCTGCTTTGGGGCGGTTTCTGGAAAGATCCCACCTCAAGTAACACACGGCTGACCTTTGGGAGGTTCCCTTTGATGCACCGGTCTTGAAACCAGATTGGAGAACGTGTGTGTGTGTGATATTATATTATATATACGTGTATATATATATCATGTTTGATACATGTATGTATACAGAGTTCGAGTGCTTTCACGTGAATCAACATCTCCGAATTCTTTGCCAGACCTGTGTGTCAGAGAAGCTTCACCTGCTGCCGTACTTGACAAGAGCGGGGGCCGCGCCTTGGCCGTCCCTGCTGACGTACTTTGGAAATCCTTGGAATCTTTGTGTTTCAACTTTTCATTTTGTGCGCTTTGTTCATTTTGTTCCTGCTTTGGGCAATGGCTCATTGCGGATGAAGTGGCAAGGAGTTGTGGCTGTAGCAAGCTACTTCTCACGGCGTTTGTGCGTGTTGCAGCTATCATGTCGAGAAAAACGCTGTCGCCCGAAACTGCAAGTTCATGCTGCAATAGATGTGGAGTATTGTGGAGTCCAAATTGCTCATAAGATATCCATAGGAAACCCAGCATTCCCAAAACAATATAGAAATGTTATTGATATATTATTTATTTATATATCTATATATGAATATAGATATCGATATAGATAGATATAGATTAGATCAGACGCAGGACTGGATCATACCGAATCATACCTCTATCTGCCGGGCACATCTGGGCATGAGGCCACAGGCGAGCGCACCTGGGAACCGTGGCATGCTCAAAGGATCGATGAAAAATGTGAAAAACATGCTGTAAATTCTGTATATTGCACTGTGCATCACTTGCATCACAAAAACATCACTGTGCATGCCTTGACACAGGAGGCAAGGCACGCAGGCACATGATGCTGAGTCAAGTAGCAGTGAGGCAGCATGGAAATTCTCTGAAGGATTTAATAGAGTACAGGATGCGTTCGCTGTGACAACTTTGCACCAACAGCTCATTCAGGTGGTTTCAACATGAGAGCAGATCCAGCCCTGGAAGGCTCCCAAGCATGCTTCATCATGCTGCCTTTGTTTGTTGATGACATTCTTGTGCCTTTCAAATGCTGCGATCTCAAAATTCAAACATGGTTTGAACTTGGACAAAGTGTTCTTCACTACCATGAGATGATGAGTGTTGAACATTGCGGGTGCGCACAACAAGACTTTTCAGAGTTTGCTTAACGTTTTAGCGCATGTCGTGAATGTAGTGCAAGGTTCTACTACATCAATGTCTTAACCGGCGATTCTGTCTGGGATCCACCCACCAGACGGTGGAGGGAGCTGGTCCAGGCCAGGTGGAAAATTGTTCCCGAACGCGTAGCGAAGGCCTCTTGTTTTCTCGGTAGATTTGATAGAGGGTCCGCAGGTGGAGCCTTGTTTGCGGCCCGTTGCGTGACGTCTTGAAGATATGAAATGTGGGTTCGTGTGGCAGGCACGGGTGGCGCGAAGCACATTTCGAAGTCAAAAGTGTAAAAAACTGGCGGTCTCGGAGCAGTTTTTGAGGTTAGGATGCGGTTCCGCGTGGAAGGCGCAAGGGATTCTGCACGTTGTCAAAAGTGAGTCTGTTTCAAAAACGTTGGCAGGCGTGGGACGTTTGAAGAAGATCTGCAAAGATGGATTTCGCGTGGCACGCGCAGTACAAGAGACATGTTCATCAGAGATGTTAGGAGGTCAGGGCGCTCATTTCTTGAGAGGGTTTGCATTTTGGAGCATCAGGCCTTCAGGTTTGCCAAGATGATTTTGCGTCACAGGCGCAGCACTTTGTATGACCTGACTTCACTTTTTGGTGGCAGGCGCAGTAGTTCAGACAGATGGAGTGGACGCATTGGGCCGTCAGCTCTGCACTCAACTTTCCATGTTTGAAGGCAGCTTGGCAGAAACGCTTCGTTTTTGATGTCAACTTCGAAAATTGAGGAAGTCTCGCAGAATTGCTTCGTCTTCGATGTTGTCAACTTCGAAAATTGAGGAAGTCTCGCAGCATTGCTTCGTCTTCGATGTTGTCAGCTTTGAAAATTGAGGAAGTCTCGCAGAATTGCTTGGTTTTTGACGTTGCCAAAACTTATACAAGGACTTCTGGCAGGATTGCTTCGTTTTTGATCTTGTCAACTTCGAAAAATTTAGGAAGTCTCGCAGAATAGCTTTGTTTTCAAGCCTTTCAAGCTTGCAAGTAGACAGATAGATAGACAGATAGATAGACAGATAGATAGATAGACAGACAGATAGACAGATAGATGGACAGACTGACAAATAGAGAGAGGAAGAGAGAGAAATATAGATAGCCAGATAAATTTAAAGACGGACAGATAGACAGATAGATACTAAGCTCGTCCGGCCGCAACGCAACTTTTCTATTTTCGCATTTTCGCCTTTTCGGGTCGTCCCTGAACCAATCACCGGAACAGAACGACACATAAATCCATACCACAGGATAGATAGATAGACAGGCACATAGATAGACAGATAGATAGGCAGATAGATAGGCAGATAGATAGACAAATAGATAGACAGGTACATAGATAGACAGATAGATCGGCAGATAGATAGGCAGATAGAAGACAGAAAGACAGACAGACAGACAGACAGATAGATAGATAGGTAGAAGGGCAGATAGATAGACAAATAGACAGACAGATAGATAGGAAGACAGATAGATATGTAGACAGATAGATAGGCAGATAGATAGATAGACAGATAGATAGAAAGACAGATAGGTAGACAGACAGATAGATAGAAAGACAGATAGATAGACAGATAGATAGGCAGATAGATAGATCGATCGATAGGTAGATAGATAGCCCGAAACTCCAACCACCTTTCGATCCATCAACGGGTTCACTCTGCCATTCGTGCTTCAAAACAACCAACCTCTCCTAGGGTTCCTATCTTTGAAACTTCGCCACCGCCTTGTACTGGGAGGTGCATTTATAGCAATGAATAGTACTGAGAAGTTTGTACAAGCCTGTAGTACAAAGTAGTACGGAGGCGTTTTTTTAGTACAAAGTAGCTCACAGTAGTACAGGACAGCATTTTGTGCAATGCCTGTAGTACGAAGTAGTAGTGGGAAGTGTGGGGTGTATCTTTTCAATAAGAGATGGAGTGTGGGGTGGAAAGTGTCGAGTGTGGAGTGGAAAGTGTGGACTGTGGAATGGAAAGTGTGGAGTGCGTAGTGTGAAGAGTGTGTAATGTGAAAAGTGTGCAGTGTGGAGTCCGGAATGTGAGTGTAGAGTGCGGGTTCTATAGCGTGTCAAGTTGTGTATGAAGTGTGCAGCGTGGAGTGTGGGAGTCTTGTTGCTACAGCGCGTGTTTGATTGGGTGGTTTCGCCTTGGGGATTGTCCAATGTAACGGGTGGGATGTAGACTGCAGAGCGCAGAGTGAGGAGCGCAAAGTAAGTATGGCCGACGTTTTGTTGCGTAGTTCCTGAGTTTAACATTTGAAAAACCAACCAGAAAAAATATATCGTCAAGTCTGGTTTTCCGCATATCTTGAGTTGTTTTTTTTGTGTCCACCTATTCATGCATTCATTTAACAAATGCGTTCGGGTTCGTGGGTTCTATCATGTTTTTCTTGATTTCACCGAAATGGGATTTCTTCCCCGCAGCCAGGAAAGGCTGCTGCCACCGGTAGCTGATGAGCCTCCACCGCCACCGCCGCCACCACCTGCAGGGAGACCTATAAATTTCATTGAATTGCAACTTGTAGTGAATCTAGCATATATGAATATACGTGTGCGTGATATGCATTTATTTATATATATATACTGTATATAATATGATATAATATGTATCTATGTGTATATATATGTATGTATGTATGTATGTATGTATGTATGTATGTATGTATGTATGTATGTATGTATGTATGTATGTATGTATGTATGTATGTAGTATGTATGTATGTATGTATGTATGTATGTATGTATGTATGTATGTATGTATGTATGTATGTATGTATGTATGTATGTATGTATGTATGTATGTATGTATGTATGTATTGGTATGTATGTATTGGTATGTATGTTATGGTATGTATGTTATGGTATGTATGTTATGGTATGTATGTTATGGTATGTATGTTATGGTATGTATGTTATGGTATGTATGTTATGGTATGTATGTTATGGTATGTATGTTATGGTATGGTATGGTATGGTATGTATGGTATGGTATGGTATGTATGGTATGGTATGGTATGTATGGTATGGTGTGGTATGTATGGTATGGTATGTATGTATGGTATGGTATGGTATGTATGGTATGGTATGGTAGGTATGGTATGGTATGGTAGGTATGGTATGGTATGGTAGGTATGGTATGGTATGGTAGGTATGGTATGGTATGGTAGGTATGGTATGGTATGGTAGGTATGGTATGGTATGGTAGGTATGGTATGGTATGGTATGTATGGTATGGTATGGTATGTATGGTATGGTATGGTATGTATGGTATGGTATGGTATGTATGGTATGGTATGGTATGTATGGTATGGTATGGTATGGTATGGATGGTATGTATGGTATGGTATGGATGGTATGTATGGTATGGTATGGATGGTATGTATGGTATGGTATGGATGGTATGTATGGTATGGTATGTATGGTATGTATGGTATGGTATGTATGGTATGGTATGGTATGGTATGGATGGTATGGTATGTATGGATGGTATGGTATGGTATGGATGGTATGGTATGG